TCTGTCCTGTATACAGTATCCAACATATCCCACCACTTTTACCTCAAGTTGCTCTCTAATTGTCACTCCTATTCATCCCCACTGTCCGTGTACTTAATTGACAGGTTCAAAAGTATCTATTTATAGTTAACTATTTGATATCCACTATCCCTAAGTTGGGATACATCTGTTAAAGAATGAAAGCTAGTTGCGCTAAGGTCTTCTACTCCTATCCAGACTGTCATTATTTTTTGGTAGAAGTACATCATTCATCTTTTGCTTCTATGTGCCCCACATGGAGCCTGCCCCACACGAACACCGGAGTTCTTTCTGAGAGTTAATCTGGATCACAAAGTCATCAACATTGTGACTGTCATGCTTGGTGGCCACCCATGCTGTTTACAGCTGGAGTCACCCTGGCATTTCTAACTTGATTCCTAATTTCATTTCTGCCACTCCAACGGCTGTACCATGCAGGGTTGAGGCTGTGCTTAGAACAGATGGAGTTTTCAGGGCTCTCCTGTGACTTTGCACTTGCGTATTTTGCTTCAAGTTCTGCATACCTGTTTCAACCTGAAAAATTTCACTCAACTATGACTGAATCATCCTTGTCATCAGGATTGAATGTCCTCATCTGTAACCTGTAGACATTTACAGATCATTCATTTGTGAGACAGCACCCACCACTCTAATTGTTCATATTCTTGGTTGTTTTCCATTTCCCAGCATTGCTCCATTATCTCAGCGGCTTCCTGAAGGCAAAAGTTCGGTCTTCTTTGGAGTAAACAGTAGTTTGTTGAATAAAGGTAGAAATAATTGGGTAAAGTACATAAAAAATTCTGAGTTCCCTTTAAAAAGGCGTTTATGGTGATACAACTATTATTTAAATAAGATTATGTCTTCATATTTCTTATTTATCGTGTTTCCTGTTACCACAACTGGGTACATGGACTTCAATGGCAAAAGCTGCTAAACCTAAGGAGGACAAACAGTTATTTAAAATCTTCTCCAAAGTAGTTATTCAGTTCTGATAATTTTACAACCCAGACATAGCTTAAAAAAGGACTTTTAAAAGTTTGTTTAACACATTTATCTAAGAATATTTCTTTCAAAGAAATGTGTATATTCATAAGAATGAAATATTTTATATCATTCTTTATAGGTTTTAATAGCTAATTCTACAGAACTGTCATATTTGGTTGACTGGCTGATTGATTGATGGGGACAGGGTTGCTTTGAACTCATGGCCATCCTCCTGCCTCAACCTCTTGAGTGATGGGGTTACAGGTCTATACTATCATGCTCAGCTTTTCCTCAGAGACTTCATGGGAGAGTCTAGACTTTTCATATTATACAAAGAAATATTTCTAAAAGTACTTAAAAGTGAAGGTTGGGATGAGAACAGAAGGTAGAACAGAAGGAAGTGTGGTCCTGGGCTCTAAGTGAGATGTACCCACAGTTCAGGGTAGGGGTTAGGTGCTCAGCAGCACACACTGGATGTGGTCCATGGGCTAACAGCTACCTAGATTTTTTAAAACCAGTATTTTTCCAAATATTACTGATTTATGAGAGGAAGGAAGTATAAATAAATCCTAAGTAACTGAAACAATTTAATAAGGTTGAAAAACTCAAAAGAATAGTGTAAAGTTCCAATTAATTGAATTTCCTTTAGGCAATAAAAGTCAGTCAGGGCCTCCCAAGGTCATGAATCTACTATACAACCTGGTTATGGAAACAGTCCCTACAGAGTAAGGTTCTAGTCTACCTGAACAATTATTTATAAATGATCTTTAAAATGAAGAGGTATACATAAAAGGAAATAAGTGTAAATAGATGTGTTGACAGCAAATATGAATTTAATGAAAATCCTTATGTGCTCAAAACAATCAGAGAACATTTGTGAAATTATGCACATATTTATAGTATTTTCAGCTGTTAGCAAAATAACCCTAAGTTCAGTAACACAGTTCAGGAAAATACATATATTAGAAAAAATATCTTTGGAAATCAAGAAGAGATACATTTCTCCCAATGAATGAATAATGTAAATAATCTTGCTTTGGGTGAGTTAACCTTGTTTGAATTAAGGTTTTAACCACATGGACTCACTGCACTAGGAATGGAAATCACCTGGGACAAAGTGTTTCCCCATTCAGTTCCATGGGATGTTTACTTACCATCTCAGGAGCTGGGTAAAGATGATAGAAAAGAGAAAAGATATTGGAAGGCCACAGTGCAAATGTGAAATTGTGTGATAAATGAGTCTTGCTTGTTGTTGAATTCCAAGGCTGTGACATAGCTGAACTGAATAGCTTCTGCAGTGATACAGTATTTTTTCTGATATTTTCTTTCCACTTGAGTTTTCTGTAAGGGTTAATAGACTTCATTTAAAATTTTCTTTCAGAATCATCTCAGTCTTCAAAACCACTCTATTCAGTGACCTTACTTTCCTTTCCCTGATATACTTATAGTTGATGACTTAATTGTTTTAAAAAATCTATTTGGAGATTTACAATAATCTGAATATCTGTAATCTCCCTACACTTGAAAATAACTCATGTTTTAAATGAGTATATCAAAGTTATAATGAAAAGGCTTCTTAAGAAATTTCCAAAACTCCAAAAAGTTGGGCGATTTGTAAGATAAGAATTATTGCTGCTCTTTATGTCATTAAAATATTGTTTGGATAATCATAACAAAATATATAGGAACACAGTGAAAAATATCAGCAAGTGAGCAAGAGTAAAAGTTCTAATTCATATTTTTGAAAAATCTCCAAGGTAAGGAAATTTATTTCACTTTTAATGTATTTAGCAATGCTGGAATAAGAAAAGTTATGCAAGTACATCATGAAATGCCTCTTACTCTTCTGAGGAAATTTAGTTTCCTCAGAGTTCTCTGGCTGTGCACTGGTAATGGAATTCTGTGGTGACGTTATGTCGTCAGATCCTATCCCCATGTGGATCTTCATCTGCCCAAAGCTGGCTCACTATTTCTGAGCAGTGGTACAGTGTCTCAAAGAGATTGCTAATAAATGCAGTGCTCATTCCATGGTACATTTCTCTTGTATTTTTTGTATGAAGTGCTTTGTCCTTCCTGCCCCACTCAATGCTACTTCTCCGGCCAGTCTTTACTTTTTGAGACAGTGTCTCACTAAGTCACTGAGTTGCTCAGGCTGGTCTTTAACTTGTGGCCTCCTTCTCAGCTTCCCAAGTGCTGGGGTGATAGGTGTGTGCCTCCGTGCCCTTCTTGATTGAGAGCTGGTTCTTAGAATCCTTCATAGTAGCTTAGCAGGACAGTCTACAACTTCTCACTCTACCTATTGGGATTTCAGATAGGGGGTCTTTGTCCAGCTTGTATAATCTCATGGTTGAATGAAACTTAGTCTTTGATTTAATCTTGGATTTTATATAAACAGGTAACACAATGGTGAGTCAGGCCACCTAAAGTTTGAGTAATTAAGTCTTTCTGAAATTTTATAATAGCTATTATAAATGAAAAAAATGAGTGATTGAAGATTTCAAGTGTGAGCTACTACTGTGAAGCAGGGAACAGACTTTGACCATGTGGGGGCTCTTATGATTGGTAAATTTTATAAATGGTGATGAGTTTTTTTTAAAAAGATGCAAATGCAATTATAAAAGTACAAATTATTTTTGAAAATTGAACCAATCTTAACTTACACATTAAAATGACAGAATGTTCAGAACACTGTACTCTGTTTTACAGAAGACAAAAAAAAAAATGCCAATCAGTGCAATTACCACTCCTAACACATCTAGTGAGAGAAAGCAAAGTTGTTCTTCAGGGGTTTCCTATTCCCCCCATACCTTTGCTGTCCCTCACTGTCAGGATACAGGCTCGAAGTACAGTATGAATATCCAGATAACACGACCACAAACCTGCCATCTTAGCCAACACCTTTCTCCTATAATACTATTGTTCCATTCTGTACCCCATTAAAACAGCCTTCTACAAAGTGTCATGTTGGAAAATATTTTGGCAACAAATTTAAATCTCACTTAGGAATGTTTGTACTGTAATGGCATGGCTTATATAAAGGAGCTGGGATGGTGGGATTTGGGGTTACTGGGGCAGGTTCATGGGGAGATATGTAGCCGGCTTAATCATATTCTTACAGCCCATCAAATTACATGGAAGTGGTACTTAATGTGATTTCTCCCTTCAAAATTGTTGTCCAGCTGACAGCTGTATATTTACAAGGATGAAGTGATATTATATGTTAGGAAGAACATGAGATTTGGATATCAATTATTTTCCACTATATGATCTGACACGTGTCTATTATATCAATAAATATATGTGAACTGGATTTAGTTAACAGAAAAGAATAAAATATTATAGGTTCAGGTTTTTATGGAACATTCTATGCCATACTGAAAATTAATCAATACTGAAATATTCTATTCTATTTCCATACATACGTTTGCACAGAAATTAGACATATTGCTACTTTATAAAATAATATGCATATATGAATTTTTTAAAAATCCCTCAGCCAAGAATTTAGCTCAGTGGTTTTGCTGCCTGCTGCACAAGCACAAGGACCTGAGTTCAATCCCCGGTACCAAAAAAATAAAAAAATAAAATAAAATAAAATCCCTCAACCATAACAATTATATATATTCCCATTACAATTTTTACCATTTGTCTTGGAAATTTTTAGCTTATTTCATCCATAATAAAGTTTCAGAGGGCTGGATGTAAAGAGGGGATGTTTCTTTAAGTACTTTAAAATTTTTATACTCTGTTTGCCTTAAGACCTCTATCTTTGAGTTTGATTTCATACTATTTAGACACAAATAAGTTTATTCTGTGCACATGGATAAGGTTATCGTGAAAAAGAAAACTGTACAAGCACATTTCTTAGGGCAATGAGGATACTTTCACTATATAAGAAGGTGAAGCAAAAGAAAAACTAAAAGGATATAGGAATGACAACTGCATGTTCTCATGATGCAAGTCACACATTGGAACTATATTATTCTTTTTATTTGTAGGTGGGGTACACTGAGAGGAGCAAAAGGAAGAAAAGAAAAATTTTGGGTATGTAATTCATTTTAATTGACTTCTTATTGGGAGGTGCAGAATTGCCTGCTCCTCTGTTGGCTGTTTTGTTTTAGTCACATCTTTAGTCACTATATTATTCACAACACCTGTGTTTTCTCCAACACAAAACTCAGTATAAGTATTTTTTTATAGTAAAAGTTCTATTCTTGTCATTTTATTTCAAATCATAAAATAATTTTTTTTTCAGATTATCAACAGGACAACTTTTTGTTCCGTTATTATTTCTATTATAGTAATGTTTAGACCACCATATATATATATATATATATATATATATATATGTCAATGAACTGTATGCCTTTGTTATTTTATATACAGTAATTATATGACTCTATGTATATTACTTCAGGTATTCAGTTAATTATAGTGAATGCGATCAATTGTCCTATCTTTACATACTTTTTTTTGCAAAAGTAGTATAAAGTCTAAATGATAATATTTGCAATAGAATATAAATATACATATATATTATATGAGTGCAGTGCATATTACAACTTATAAAACAATAGGCATTATGATTCATACTCATCAGAATGACTTGGTAGATTTTTTTCATAGGGTACTTTCAAACATCAATCTTCCAAATATATTTGGTTGATATTTAAAGATATTACATATTTAAGTGGAAGAATTTGTCTTTACATTTAAAGTGAAGTTTAAGAATATTTTTCTCATCAAAACAAAACTTTCAGTAGATAACAGTTAACATTAATATCCAATACTCAAACTCTAGGAGAGGATATGCTGTTTGAATACCTACAATTGATTTTCCACATGGGTTTTTTCTTAAATGAATTTGAAGAATATTTAATCTCAGCAATGTAACATTTAGAAACTAAAACAACTTCTTTGAATAATGTATTTAACAACAGCTCTCAGCACGTGGTACTGGATAGCAATTTTTTGAGTTGAATACAAGTAAGTGTACAGGATAAAATATTTCATAATTTGCTCATGGTTCACCTGATCATTTTCAACCCAAAGCCCCTGGCATGGTGTAGTATGCATATTTACACATGATATGCAAGTGTTCCTATTCACATACTCTCATGAATTCACTACATACCTGCACACTATCCTTTTAAGTTACTTTTGTTGAAGTTACCTATCAATTCTGAATGTACTAATTATCAAAATATTTTTAAAGTAAACATTATTTCATAGGGCAGGGGAAGGATTTCTTTCTGCAATTATTTTTGAGGATAAATCATTGAATGTAACTACCAGGAATACAAGAAGCAGACTGACATTTATATTTTATTAAGTCACATATTTTAGTTGGCTTCTTTCTCCATGAAAGAAAGATGTACACTCACCTTGGATTAAGACTGTATGTTCCTATTTGCTGGAGTATCCAAGGGCAAAGTATAGGTGGATATATAGTTGGAATATAAACACTATTCATAGACTTAGTGGATAAATAACTTCATGTATTCAGAAAAACTCAATGCATTAAAATAGTTTTTTATTTCATATAAGACTTAGTGGTCATTTCTTTAAAATATGAAATTTTTTGGTACCAGGGATTGAACTCAGGTCCTTGCTCTTGCTTGCTTAGCAGGCGGTGAAACCACTGAGCTAAATCTCCTGCCCTATGAAATGTTTTGTAAAGAATTGTGAAGGGTCTGAAATGTTATCCCACACACGTGTACACACACACACACACACATACACACACTCACACACACACAGCATATGGGTCAGAAGCAAAGGATCCTTAATTGATACCCAAGCCAGAACAGCTGGAGTAACACTGTAGCAATGCAGCATGGGTCCTCCATGCCTTCCTCTTGTGGGTGATGTGATTAGACCAATGGAGATGTTGTGCTGAGGTGGCAGTGTATGTATGTGCCATGGCTGAGAAGCAGAAAACAGTGGATTTTCTCCAGTTATATGCAAAAGAAAGAGGGTATATTCCTCCTTTCCCAAAGTGAAAGAGAAAACTTTCATTTCATTAACATGAGGTGAAAAAGATATTGTATTGTCAACACTAGCTCTCAGAAATAGAAACTTTTCCAGGGTTAAACTCCAGATAATGTATCCAAATACTGGGTTTTGTTCCGTTTAATATGCAAATACTGAGGGAGAGAATGTTCTAGCACTTCTGGACACTTAGGGCTTAACTTAGGAACTTGTCCTCCTCTAATTCTTAGCCTCTCGGGAAGATAAGTTTAATTATTTCTTCAAATCAGCATACTAGACAAATGGCTATAGATTTAATTCCTATGGTATATAAAGAGTAAATATTTCTAGGAGAAGTGAAAACAAACATTTCTTTATTGTGTGCCTTTTTGTTTGTCAAGAGCACTAAGAAACATGGGTAAGTTTTATTTTCCCACAGTTACATGGACGTATTTGAAAATATTTATTAGACATATGCTTTTTTTATATAACGCAAATAACTGAATGGGTTCTATTGCTGAGTAGAGTAATACATAATGGAAAGACATAAATTCCACTAAACAGATAGAAATTTCCTAAATCTATGTTTTAAAAAAAACAAAAGCTGAATCTGGAGATTTTCTAACCTGGGGGCATTTGTCACATCAGAGAATTGGATGTGTAACATTCAGGGAGAAACTCCAGGACAAAGAGAATCCAAATGGGTTGGAATGAAAAGGAACACAAACCCCACAGCTGTCTCTTCCTATGGAATATATTCTGAGTAATAAACAGAGTAGAGCTAAGGAAGAGGGTCAGAAAGAGAAATCTTCTGCAGCACTGCATGGCCTGGGGAAGAGTTCTACCTGAACAGAGCTGGGAACACATACATAATTGGAAGAGCCCTTCAAATATCTGAAACCAGGTGTGGATTAAATTAAACAACAGCTTCTCTCCAGCTCTTGCTTAGCTCAGTTCCTGACTTATTGAGGTGATTAGTCCCTCACTATATCTCTAAAAGAAAGAGGTAACCCCCTTTTTGTGAAAAATAAGCCCAATACCAGTCTCTATAATTATTCTAAAAACACCTGATATACAGTTAAAAGTTCTGAGACAATTGGAGAAGAAAAATGTGACCAATGATCTAGAGAAAAAGCTATTAATAAAATTAATAAATGCTACTTTAGCTGTAAGCTTTAAAACACTGATTGTAAACTAGATTATGGAACATAAGAATAAAAAGTTGAAAAATTTCAACTAAGGATTTCAATCTATAAGAAAAATTTTTTAAATGAATTCTTGACTTTGTGAATGCCATGTTTTGTGGTGAGTGTTTAATAGAGAGAATTTATGGTGCTAAATAAAATTCAACAAAATAAACCCACATTGTAACACATAAAAGAAAAATTAATGGAACAAAAGGCAAAACTAATCCAGAACAATGTGAAGAGATGGGTAGGACACAATGGAACAGCTGAACATACTTGTAATTCTGTGTAACTCTAGGCCTAGGAAGTCCAGTTTGGGAGGGCGGGGGGAACATGAATGAGACTGAAACAGAATTACCATGTGAATCAGTAATGTCCAAGTTTCCCAAAATTAAAAGATATCTGTTCAGGAAGCTCAATAAATTACAAGCAAGAGACAGAGAGAAAACCAGCAAGGAATTTCATGTTGAAATAGGTGAATGTTTGTCATAGAGAGAAATAATTTTAAACAACCAGATTTAAAAATGATGCATTACCCATCAACCTGATGACTGACAATTGACATTTCTATGTAAAAATAGAAGGCAGAGGACAACAAAATAACAGTATTGTAGTGCTCAATAAAATAATAATATAATATAATAATACTTATCTCAGGCATTAAAAAGTTAATAGAAAAAGTGAATATTGGAAAAAAAGTTCAACTGTTTTTTAAAAGATACAAAAGGCACTTATTTGATAAGCTGAAAAACTCAAATCCAGTGATGATGATGATACACTTGTGTACCTAGAATCTTGTAGCTGGTAATAGTTTTAATTAAAATGAAAACAAAATCATGTCATTTTCAGACAAATAAGTAGTTAAATAAATTCAAAGCATCAAAATGATACTACCTCAAAACTTTCGTTATTTAGCTAAAACATTAAGAAACTTAATAGAGAAAAGAAATGTATTGAAAAAGAAGAAAAGTTCACATCTGTTTTTAAAAACATGGAAAATACTGATTGAATAAGCTGAAAAACTCAAATCTAAGAAAGATTTAATGAAAGAAATAATAAGGATGTGCACATAAATTTATGACAAAGAAATTAGTCATGATATGGTGATGAAATCAGCAAAATAAAGTTGAGTTTTTTGAAATGATTAAATTCTTAGGAAGACAAAAAAAGAAACAGAAAAATCACATTACCACAAGAGATGAAAAAGAGGACACGGTTATACACATAATAGATATTAAATAGGTAATAAGAGGATATGTTAAAAAAGTTATGCCAATATATTTGAAAATTAGATGAAATTGATAAATTTCTTGAAAGAGGATACTTATCAAAACTTACACGAGATAAAAATAAAGAGCCTAGGACCTGGGATTTAGCTTAGTGGTTTCACCGCCTGCTGCACAAGCGCAAAGACCTGAGTTCGATTCCCAGTACCAAAATAAATAAATAAATAAATAAATAAATAAATAATGACCCTAAGCAGTTACGGAAAGATGTGAAAAAACTTGACTCTCTCACAGAAACTCAGGCCCAAAATCCTCATTAGTAAATTTTCTTGAATATTTGGGCACAAATAAAAACAGTATTACATCAAATTCTTTTGGGTTGCAGAAAGTAAGGAAGAATTTCCAACTCATTTTATGAACCATCATAATTTCATTACTAAAATCTGACAAAGACAATTAAAAAGAAAAAAAGAAAATTACAGACCAGTATCTTTTGTGAACACAAAATTCTAAAGGAAGTGTTACAGTTGAGGAGTGTACACTACTGTTCATTATAAAATACCAAATGCTTTTCTTTTATCATTGAAAATATAAAGCATGTACGTTCACTGTTATGACCTCCATCAGCATTTCACAGGTGATTCCAGCTACCACAGTTAAG